CCCCTCCATTGTGTTCTGGGACTCTTTCACTTGACCATTCTTGGTGCAGCTCAACTAACAAACTACGCAAGTGAATTCTTTATAAAATGCCAGGCAAATTTCAACCTGAATGAGCTGCTGTTCTGAGACATACTTGAGCAACTGAAACTTCCTGTTACGCTGTTGAGTTGTAAAATACATGCTAATAAAATACTGGCCATGCAGGAATGCTAAATGGTCCTAGAGAGTACATCTAGGTACACAAAGTTCAACTTTTTGAGCCAGAAGGCAACCTCCTTCCTTTACTTCAATGAACTCACCTGCTGGGAGGAGGCTGTGAACCTGTGCCAGGAAAAGATCATGACATGCAGTATTTTCTGTATGGACAGTCTCTGTATGCACTGCTCATTATTCCTGCTTCTCACTGCAAAGCTAGCGCATGTACAGAGACTATTCATTCTAGATGTATTTTCTGATCTTGTTTGACTGAAGGACCATGACCGAAAAAGAGTGAAGACCCTAATCCCTTCCAGAATTGATCAGTCAAGCCTGACAGTGGACTTTTGCCACTGAATGAGTACACTAATTTTAGCCTGTACTGTAAAAAGGCAGTCCATGAATCTCTTAGTATACTAATGTTAAAGAGTCTAAATACTCTAGACCAGTGGTTCTCAACCTGCATAACCTCAGGGCCCACATTTGTCCTTGGTCACTAAGTTGCGACCCAAGGCGCACTGCAATGGAATGTAGGCATTGCGTTACCGCGCATTCTAGTGCAGTGATTGAACTGTGGGCGTCATTCAAATGAGTGGCAATGCAACACACCTACCACACCAGAACGCGTAGTAGGTGCTATTGCATTGTACATTGCATTCATGGCACAGGACTGTACTAGTGTGTACGGGCCCTCAAAAACACTGACAGACACACAACCACAGACACAATCTTACAGACACACATATATGCCAAGATTTTTAAGATCTTCCCAGTCTCCCTACCTTACGTGAACTAGAGTAGATCCTCACTCTGGGGTCCAGTGTGGGCTGCTGTGCTGTGACAGAGCTCCATCCATACGTGCATTGCTTGTACAATACCCTTGCGTGCCCTGTAGAGGTGTAAGGAGCCAAGACGTGATGTCACTCCGGTTCAGGCACCACCACAGGACATGCGAGGAAGCTGTAAGCAATGCACAAATGGATGGAGCTCTCTCGCAGCCATAGCTGCTATCCACCCCACCTCAAGCTGAAACATGACGCTGAGCAGCATAGGATTGGCGGCTTGGCGTGAGACTTGACAGTGCTGCGCTAGGGGGAGACTGAGAAGCCTCTCACCTAGAAAAGTGGAAGGCACATGGCGACCCACTGAACACGGTGTCGCGACCCACTTTTGGGTCACGACCCACCAGTTGAGAACCAAGGCTCTAGACCAAAGGTTAATGCAAAGGAGTTGGTCCATCAGACCTTCATTACATTGCTGTTTACATCCCAGCCACGGAGACATTCCTAGCAAATCCTGCACTGAAACACACAGTTCTGGTAGCAACTAGGTCCCAGCACATGAGTACCTTGTAGGCTAACACAAGTACATTCATATTATGTGAGCATTTATAAATCAAGGTCCATATCTTCAACCAATCCTCTTGAAGTTAAAGGTCACCATGCCACTTGATCAGATAGAAATGTTCCGTGGGAGAGGTTAAAGCATTTATTTGACAGAAGAGGATAAAAATTAGTTAAGGATCTGTGGTGGGCTCTGCAGGGTCTCAGGTGGGCTGTGAAGGATCTCTGGTGGGTTCTGCAGGGTCTCAGGCTGCTAAGCCCACCATAGACCCCGCAGAGCCCGCCACAGATCCTGCAAAGCCCACTGGAGACCCGGCTGAGCCCTTCACAGATCATGCACAGCCCCCCTGAGACCCTGCAGTCTCAGGGGGCTGTGCAGGATCTGTGGTGGGCTCTGCACGCTGCAGAGCCCCCTATGGATCATGCTGAGACCCGGCAAAGCCCTCTACAGATCCTGCAAAGACCCTGCAGTTTGCAGCATCTCAGGGGGGTTGTGCAGGATCTGTGGTGGGCTTTGCAGGCTGCAGAGCCCCCTATGGATCCTGCAAAGCCCCCCTGAGACACGGCAAAGCCCCCCACAGACCCTGCAGAGACCCCCTGACACCCTGCAGAATCTCAGGGGGGTTGTGCAGGATCTGTGGTGGGCTTTGCAGACTGAAGAGCCCCCTAGGGATCCTGCAGAGCCCACCAAAGGGTATTGCACAGCCCACCTGAGACTCTTTGGTGGGCTGTGCAGAATCTATGCTGGGCTCTGCCAGCACAGTCCTCTTACCTTGCACGGCCTGACCTCTTTGGAACACAGTACCGACACGGCCTCCTTGTCATCTTCGCCGCCCGACTGGAGATCCGTCTTCGCCCCCCGCCTCTGCTGTCTCAGGGGCCACTCGACAAATTTTTTTCTCTCTTGAGGGCCGCTTGCCAAATTTCATACTTTAAAATAAAATTTATCTATATCCGGTTTGGTACTACAGGCACTAATATACACTCACAATAAGGCCCCTTTCATATCTGTAGGTTTAGGTGCGATTAGGGATTCCTGCATCAGAAACTTGCATTTTACTGCAAGTGTTACTCACACTGATATGTGATATTATTACATGCGGTTAGAAAACACTCTCCCTGGATGCACAATCATTGTGTCCAGGGAGAGTGATTGATTCCTAACGGAATGTAAACATATCACGTATAATTACATGCGGTGTGCAGGCGTTTACATGCAATTGCTGTCACCTGATCATTAACTGAGGTTACAGCGGCCACTTGTAAATGCCAATTCAGGGATTTCTGCTTCAGGAAAACGCAAGTTCCTGATGCAGAAATCCCTAATTGCACCTAAAGATAGAGGCGTGAATTCGGCCAGAGTTCACTGAAAGAGCGCTGGCCGAAAGGATCTGGGTGGCGGTGCAGACTCAGCTACACGGTCTGCATCCGACAAAGATGCAGACCGTGTAGCTGCTCCGCAAGTCAGGTACGCGGTCCTTGACAGCGTACCTGACTTGTGAGCTGGCTGCGGGCCACAAAGTACCGTCTCGCGGGCCACAATTGGTCCGCGGGCCGGTACATTTGCCGCCCTGACGGAATCTGCTGCCCGAGGCAAACGCCTTGTTTGCCTTGCGGCAGATACGCCCCTGGCTTTCAATATGGAACACATTTGCTGGGGCATCATTTTGATAAGCGTATGCAAAGCCACGACATGTATTTCTGCTTAGAGTTGCATTAATTTTTTACCAAGATCTTGTAGTGATGATGGGAGAGTCAGACCACTGCATAAAGTCTTCTCCAGCAAATCCCAAAGATTCTCAATGGGGTAAAGGTGTGAACTCTGTTTTGGCCAATCCATGGTGAAAATTATGTCTCATGCTCCTTTACAATTTGAGCCCAATGAATCTTAGCATTGTTATCTTGGAATATGCCCATGCTATCAGGGATGAAAAAAAAAACCCATTGATGAAAAACCTGGTCATTCAGTATATTCAGGTAGGCAGCTGACTTCATTTTTGGGCACATAACGTTGCTGAACCTAGACCTATTATCCAATGGAAGACTCTTACCTACTTGCTTAGCTAAATCCAGATGGTGACTTTTTTTGTAAGCCTGCACAAGTTTAATAGCTTAAGACTAAGAATGTTCAGATTATTACATAATTACATGTGTATTTAGTTCTTATAGGACAGTGAGAAATTGCTCCTTGTTCAGATGGCAGTCACCAAATTGTCTGACCAGACTGTAGTCTTATAGAAACAAAGGAAGGTCTATGGTATCCAGAGGAATTGGAAATACTACATTAACAAATGATGACTTGTGGACAACAGCTATATCTTGTGTCTGGTTTCTTGAGTTTTACATATTTGATCTCCCTTGTAGATTTTGCCTAGAAGGCCTGAAGCAGATTGGGGCATTACTTATTTGTCAGTCGGGTATACATGATTCGAATTCTGTTCAGAATTTTCATCTTTGGAACGTTTGTTCGAATTTCTAATAGTTAATGGGGTCAAATTGATGATCAGGATGAAAAATTATCCTCAAACAAAAAAAAATTCTAACAGTGAATGTGGTTTTTATTCAGGAAACTCCATTTATTCCAAAAACTGAATGTTAAAATTAGGGATGCACTGATACCGTTTTTTCTGTATTTAGTATGAGTAACTATACTTATATTTCGGTACTCGCCGATACCGAGTACCGGTACCGGTACTTCTGGTAGTATAGAGCCGGCTTCCCTGGCAATCAGGAAGGCTGACTCCATTCTGTTTGGCCGGCTGGATGCTGATTGGCCGGGAAGCCGGCATTATCACAAACAACTCTAGTCCACCCAGCGGTTTACTTTCACTTTAACAGGCAGCAAAAGCTGTGTGCATTGTGGAACAATTCATCCTTGAAGTTCAAGCTGAAGCATTGTAGCGGTAAAGTCAACTTTCAGCAGGTTAGTTTACCCCATGCTGCCTTCCAAGAGCACCTGCTCTGTGTATACATCAGAAATTAGAAGGCTGCTGAGTTATTGCTGAGAGGGTTTGCTGAGCTACTAACAGGATGACATTGCATCTGCTTGAAACTTTGTGGACAAATTGCTTTATTGCAGGTGAAGGCAAACTTCAGCCCTCCAGCTGTGGCTAAAAACTACAAATCCCATTGGATATTGCAAAACTCTGACAGGCACAGGCATGACTCCCGGAGGCAGATGGATCATGGGATTTGTAGTTTCACCACATATGGAGCCCAAAGGTCCTGTTTTCAAGTTTTTATTTTATTGTTTGCCAAGCGAATGTAAATAATGGAATCAATATTCAAAAATAATAATGAATAAAATTTGAGATTTTCAACAAAAGCACCAATCAGGAAAAAGTTCCTATGTAAGCACATGAAATGCATTCCAAAAAAAGTCTTCTAATAAAGATCGTTGAAAAAAAAAACTCTCAAGAGTCCACACCCACTGCAGCAAAGCGTGAGGGAGTTCCCGCCTCCTGACCCCGCCCCTCAGACCCTCCCATACACACCCAGCGGGCGGGAAGGCGTTAGCCAGGCAGCGCCTCACTCAAGCACCGACCGACAGAGCAAGTACGACACGGGCCGCCGCCTCTCCTTCCTGACCAGCTGAGCAGGACGCCACAGGCCGCAGCGGCGGAAGGAGAGACAGGGAAGACGTGCAGAGCACAGAGCCGGCGTACACGAATTCGTCTCCTCTGAGCGTCGAACATGGCGGCTGCAGCTGGGGCCTCGTCTAACCCCGGAGGGGGACCAGAGATGGTGCGGGGACAGGCGTTCGACGTAGGCCCGCGATACACCAATCTCTCCTACATCGGGGAAGGGGCCTATGGCATGGTGTGGTAAGTAGCCAGGAAGTCGGGCGTGTCTGTGTGTGAGTGACCGGCTGTCCGCCCTCCTCCCTGTCCCGGGCCTGCAGCCTGTCTCTCCCTCCCCAGCCTGTCACTACCCCTCCCTGAGTGGAGGAGAAGAGAGCCTGCTCTGCACACACACCGCCTGCCCTGGCGGCTGAGGTGTCAGTGCTGCTGCTGGTTGCCATTTTTTCCTCCTTGCCCCTCGAATGTCTCTGCGCTGCCATACTGTGCCTCTTCCCCCGCAGGCTGCATTTCTAGCATACTCGTGTCTTCCTTCCTCTATATATGAACACAGTTTAAATGTTCATCTATCCACACGGAGACTTCTGTATAGTGGGGAGATCTCTTGCTGCCTTCCTCTGTGAGCCCCCCTAGCACAGCCCACCTGTTACACTGTCCCATTGGGGTTAGATTGTACGTGGTAGACATTGTATGCTGGCTGAACAGAGGAGCCTCCAGCTGGACATTAGGAGAAAGGGCTGGACCATCGATTGGCTTCTATCACCAGTCACCTTATGCTGTCATATTGACAGATGCAATATCTGCCTGTTCCCCATTGCTGTTTTCTGCTGTCAGTAAAGATGGCTGTGTGACTCCTACTGATGGCTAAGATCATTTCTCATTTTAATAATAATTTGACAACTTATGCTACAAGCAAACCATTTTTTTTTCTTTTTGCTGGAACTGATCTGCAATTGATTACTGCCACACACGGCTTGTGCTAATGTGGCTAGTGTGTGTGTACACAGGATTACTGTAAGTTCAGGCTGTAGCCCTGTGCAGATCATAAACATTTATTAAACACAAAAGAGCCCTGTCATGGTGTGCACAATTGATCTCTGCATTCTCATTAATGCTACTTTTTTCCTTGACATGAAATATATTTATCGATCTCCATCCCCTGCAGAGTTCTCAGCGTCGTGAAATGTCAATGTCTTGATTTTATGGAATGTCTTCTGTGCTCATTTTATGCAATGACTATTTTGTCTTTAATGTGCCACTACTGCTCTCCCAATTAAGTTTTTTTTTTGTAAGGTCATAACTGAAGAATTTTTTTTTTTTGTGGCACATATTTTTGTACGGTCATATTTACTGGTCCCGCCCTGAAGTCTGCCTGCCAGTCGTTATAGAATCTGAATTGTGTGTGTATACCATTGTTTACTATTATTGGTGTTTGAGCAGACAATTTTCTCACGCGTTACATGTAATATGTGCAGGGTGCATTTGCATCCTTATCTATGTGTCCAGTCATTACTGGCCCAACTTTTATCCATGTGAGCGGGGTATATTTTGCGACTGATTGTTGGTGATATTGCATTGTCAAAGCATGCAGATGGAAAACTGATGTTTGCTTAGCGCTAGTATAAGACTTCATTCACACTTACCACTTGCGGTTTTATGCAGAGATCTGTCTGCAAAATCTGTCAGGCTAGATGCCTTGTTTATGCTTCTAGATGGGTTAAATGACACGTTTGCACACACATGCGTTTAGATGCATCTGTCTTGTCCATTGAAGTAGCCAATGAGATTTCAGCACATACACGCCTTGTTTACTTGTGGTTTGGTGCGTTTAGAAGTTCAAACCAATTCCTGGGCACACCTGACTTCTAATTTTTCTAAACGCAGCTAAACTGACTGCAGATAAAAGCTTTTAAGCGCAAGGTGTGAATAGATCCATTGGAAATCATTAAATACGTTTATATGTGTTGAGAAAACAATTTTCAACGCTTATCACACCAAGTGTGAATGAAGCCTTAATCATGTCAGTGTATGGATCTTGTTGAATGGTTTTAGTCTTGGTATTTAGTGATATGGTGAAATATGTAGGTTACAGATAGATTTAGTAATATTCTTTATATTGTAACAGATTTAAGACTCTGGTTGGACTAGTCCTTTAAATTCCCAGTTACATGATTTGATCTGTTGTCTGGAACAGAATGTTTTTGTCATTTAATAAACATTTAAATATGCATAAAATGCAGTAATATACGTGTATGATTCTGAAGTAAACACCTTCAATGTAGGAGATGGCAGTCTCTTCCTAATATGCAGTGTGCCTGTCTATAGATTCCATTTTTCTTTGGGGAGGGATCAAACCCTTCACATTAAATAGTCTAGTGCAGTGAAAGCACACAAAACGGGCACAGCAATCTACCCTACCATAATAAAAATTGCAAATTTCTTATATGGCTGTTGGTGGATGGAGAGGTGTATAGTATATTGTATTAAAGTAAGTTGTAGGCCTGCAGGTTTTTTTTTTAATCTAGTGGTGAAAGAATATAAAGGGCCCTTGACAAGGATACAAGGGCCTTTTTTCCAAAAAATTATGCAGTCACGATCAGTGCAGACAAACATTGCAGCTTCATTTTAATTTAGTGTGCTACTGTGTATTAAACCATTTATCATGATACTTCTCATGCACAGGTAGCAGGGCAGCGCTTAGCAGATACTAATAATGGTAACCAAGCACTCCTGCTTGTCATAACAGTGAAAGATGATTGTGTGGAGATTTTGTTCCAGTTAGGTAAATAACTGGTTTAAGAGGGTCTGTAAATTGGATGCAGTTGTAAATCTATTTATAAGCTAACAAAGTACATTTTATGCAGGATGAAATGGTCATATTGATCTGTTACTGTTTAAGCATTGTTTTAATTAGTTGTTTTTAAAAAAAAAGACTATTTTAAAGTGGTCTAAGGACCCGTGACATCACATCTAATGCAAGTTTATTAGACATGAGGATGCTGAGGGACATACCACAGCTGGGTAAGAGGTGAACTGTCACTGCCGCAGGACAGAGGGTCAGGCGAATCTTTTTTGTTGCCTCTAAATCAAAACAAGCAGTTAACCCTTGCAGTAAGGGGTACCCCCACTGCAAGGGTTAATTAACCACTTAGGGGCTGCTTAATGTATATAAACGCTGCGGACCTGAAGCGGTTATATCGGTCTTGAACAGAGCTGCAGCAGCTTTGATTTTGGTACTGTTTTTACAGCCTACTATGGCTGTAACACAAGGGTTTTAACGGCTATGGAGCTAGGGAGTGTATGCTTCTTTGGGGTGCATAGCTGATATTAGGGGTCTAAATGACCCCTGATGTCTCCATAATGGGGACCTGTCGCATCCTGCTATGTGATAGCAATAAAGTTGTGTTAAACAAAAATGCTTAAATATATTTATATAAATTAAATATAAAAACACAACAAAGTATTTAGTATTTAAAGTCCTCCACATACACGCACATACAAACACGCATTAAGCGTGCCTGCTAGTAAAAATGATGACTGGGCCACACCTAATATATATACATAACACTGAATATCCACGTGAGAGCAATAATTCTAAGACCATCAATCTCTGTTAACATTGAATTGATGAGCGATAAACGCTTTTAAAGCGTGGCCTATGGGTAATATTTTATCAAACATTGGGTATTCTGTTTCTATGCACTAAAATTGATTTTAGTGTATTTTATCCTATAAATAATGGTTCGATAAACATTTGGAAATATTGTTGCTATATAAAGAAGTGCAACTTGCATTTTTTTTTATTCCTCAGGGCCCCTGCTTTCAGAAAATATGTAAGTGTTTGCGGGTCGTAAACTGTATTTCCAGCTAAAAATTCAGATTTTATCATGTGCGCAAAAATTAAGAAATTGTTTCGGATGGCAAGTGGTTAAGTTTGTGTGCTGTTCATTCCCATTTCCTTATCTGTTTCATATATAATTGTCATGGATTTTTTTCATCCTTTGTTGTGCATCAGTGCTGATCTCTCACTCTGGGTCCATTCACGCATGTACCGGTGACTTGAAAACAATTGTATTGTATGTGCCCTGTCACACCACAATGGGGGTGTGATGGGTGGTGTGCTGCAGAGGAATGCACCATGCTGCATTTTCTCAGTGCACTAGATGCCACCGAAGGTCACCACAGCACCCTGCACTGGTGTGTGGAGACCTGAAAGGAGGATACACAGTGTACACTACCAATAAAGTTTAAAGAAAAGAAAAATGTAAACGGTGATGACTCCGGCAGTGTGTGAAACAACTCCCTTTCCCTCCCCTTATGCTTTTTTTTTTTTTTTTTTTTTTTTTTTTAATTTTTTTTTCCCTTTATTTTTTTTTTTTGTTTTTTTCTTTGCAATTCTTATATCCCTGTCATGTTTTGGTAGCTAAATCAAAGTCTTGGAGATATTCTCATTATCGATTAGCTGGTGGGTTGGTGCTATTGGCAGCTGTCATTCCCTGGCTGAAGCTCCTTAACCTCCCTGGCGGTATTCCGTAGTGTGGCTTAGGGTTAATTTTCAGTACCAAGAGCGGTAACCCAGAGCCACACTTGGGATTGCGCAAAAGTGTCACTTGCATTGTCCTGCGAGCCCGCTGTGTGCGCCCGGCTAATGCTGGCATTCGGCTTTCAGTTTCGTTTTCAGGTGTTACAGCGGGGGGTGGAGCCGGCGGGAAATTCAAAAGGTGCAAACATGACATTTACACAGAATACACACAATACAATGTCATCTGCTATAATTACAATCATTTTTTTATAATTATATTATTTATGATTTCGTGTTTCAAACTTTATCATACCCGGGTTGTCTACTGGACTCATGTTTGGACAGCTTTGGGTGAGTTATTCCTAAGATTTACTAAGAATTACAGGCCTACAATGTAAAAAATCCTGCATAATCATACCGCCAGGGAGGTTAAGCTTCAATACAATTATTTAAAAAAAAAAAATCATAAAAAGGTTTCAAAGTAATTTTTGGTTTTGGCCTGACAAATTCCGCTGCGGAAGGTGCTTTGCAGTCAAACGCATCAGCAAGAGACTCTGGGTGGAGTGTCCCTGTGCTTGAACAATAAAGTTTATTTTAGCTCTTTGGAAAAAGCAGTATGCAACTTAAGTTACACAGTGCTTGATTACAATGGGAGGTAACAGAGCTGGAGACGCAGGCACCCGTGGCTAAAATGTTCACAGCTGAGAGACTTCAGAGCAGTGCT